ACACAAAATTATTTCCAATTCCTATTACACTCTGGAATAGTGCTAATATCACTCTTGGTGACATTGCTCCTTGACATATTTAGTTCTTGTATTTAATGTCTTTTTGTAAAAAATTGATACTTGGATCCATTAAAACAAGAATGATTTATGGGTGGGGGTTTTTTCTGTTTAGGGAAACGTTAACTGTTTTTAAACAACTTCTGTGGAAAAGATTAAGAATTACAGAATACCAGTGGGAGACATTCTGAAAAAAAATTAAATACACATTATCCATTTCACAATGCCTAACTTAGCCCCACGCAAACACTTCCTCACTTTTTGTTTCAGCTGATCAGACAGAACTAGAACACTCATTTTTTTTTAAATATTCTAACTGTGCATTAAATACTTGTGCATGTTTACAGCCAGCCAAACATAAACACCTTACCTGTTCATGTCTCATCAGTTCTATCATTTCCATAACACTGATAAAATGGTAGCAACGATCCGAGTGATCAACCATGGAGGTAGGAAAAGGACGACTCTGCCAAATTCTCCATTCAGATAAGGAAAGTTCATGAGTTGCCTTCTCTTCATGCTTCTGCAGTTTGAAATTAAGATTGGCAAGGAGATTTTAATTAAGAAATTGTTTAGCAAAACTAGGTGTCTACTTTTTTGTCAGGGACAATAAATACTCTGAATGTAGAAAAGTGTCTAAACATTATCACAAAGGTTTAAGTCTGGTCTAAAATAAAAACAATTCCGTACTTTGTGTTGTTACGACTTTTCAAGGAAGACAGCTTGTTTTAGGTGCTGAAATGATACAAAAGCTCGTAATTTTTCCTCTGAATCAAAAAAGAGCTTGTAAAACTTGAGGTTTTCTTTCAGTAACACTTTTACAGTTATATAAACAAGGAAATGAAAAAGCGTGGATACAATACCTACATGAATAGAGCATCCTGCATGGAATTCTTAGAAACAGGAACAGAACTTAATTGGATACTGAAAAACTTTTAAATGTATTTTTAATCCTCAGACCTAACCTCAAAGACATATTTCAAACATCTAATTCCTAAATTCCTAACCTCAAAAACCTACATATAATTCTCAAAATTGCATTTTTAATGTAGACCTCTTTCAAATTCGTAGTTGACTTTGTTACTTCGGGCATCCTTTAGGCCTCATGTCAAAGGAAACATTACATTTACATTAAACTCACTGATATTTCTTCAAGGTTTTCTAAGGTTTCAAACTGAATTTGAGGCAGTATTGGTTCCTTCACTCCATCACTTTCCTTAATCCTGTAAAGTCTGTCCCATATTTCAAATTCCTCAGGCGATAGAGACCAATTCTCATGACAGTGTATTTGCTTTTGGCCTATGGGGGGAGAAACAATAACAGGAAAATGTTACCTATTTTAAGAAAAAGGATACACAGAATAAAAAGAACTTTGTGTGATACCAGTCAAAAGAAAAAATACTTTCTCTGTGCCACAAGCAAAACCAGATATAGAGAATCTATCAAAAGAGTGTTGTACATGTTGTAATTATGGATAAATCTACCTATCTATTAAACGATTGTTTTGGGGGAAGGCATCATATGAACAAAGATATAGATAGAGAGACAGATATAAATGGAGAGATATATGTATAAACACCTAGAGGCCCTGAAGACAGTATAGCAAACAGGGAAAGCATATGGCTTGAATTTCGAAACGTGTGTCTCAGAGACCTCAGGGAACAAACTGCAAATAAGGAAAAGCTTTTTTTTTTTTTTAATTTTTTTTTTTTTGTATCTTTTTCTTTTTTTTTTTGAAGTTACTCTCTAAATACTGGAAAGCAACATTAATTTGTTATGACAAAAATACTTGTTAGTCATTTTGAATCGATCTCCTCTATTAAGGACATACAGATGAATAAGAGGACAGAAACAAAAGTACTATGAAAATTCCCCAGGAGCAGGGAAACAAAAAAGTGGCTTTTGAGTGTTATTTAGACTCATAACTGGAAGTGGGAAGTATAAGGCACCCATGAGCACCACCGCTAGATAAAAACAAAGTAAGTGCTCATATGGCAGCTTGCTGAAGATAAGGCCCTGGTGCTGCTTGGCTTTAAGCGAGGATGCTCCAGTGACGAAGAGGAAATGGACTAAATTTTGGCAGTCTGACAGCAAGCCTCGATACCACCAAAAAAATGCAAAATCCCTCAAAAGAGCCATCAGTGCCAATAGCAAAGGAGCATCCAAAGAATCAGTGTTAAGTGTGTGTGTTAAGAATGCGATTGCTTTCAGCCTAGGTGTATGAAGCTTGGAGAAAAATAATTAAGTTAATTTGACAATCCCTCTGCAGACAGGATTTGGGATGAATCTGCAGCCAACATCCTATTCTGAATTAATGCCACGTAAAAGGAATCAGCCTATGTCTCTCAATCCTCTCAAATTACAACTGCCAGAGACTGTGTCTTCACAGGATGGTGTGACAATGTTTATTACAGACTCAAAAACAGATCCCTGAGAGTTCAGAATACTAGATTCAAGTCCTCTTCAGAAAAAGTCTTTCACTTTTCAGCTGGAAAAAACTAACCAACACTGAATTTTTTTAAGGCCATTGATTAAAAAAATCCAGAAGATCAATATTGCTACTAAAATATTTTTGACTCAAGTCTAGGAAGTGTTACACTCCTTTATAGCTAACACAGTTCAAGGACCCAGTAGAGGAGGAAAAAAGAGAGACCTGAAGGAAAAGAAAATTAAGGACACTTATCAGAAAAGCATATCTCACAGCCTTTCCTGTTGTTTATAAGAACAGTTAAGTATTAGGTCTGCTCTAGCAGCTAATACCCAGCACCCACACACCAAGACAGAATATGTCAGTCTTGGATTAGTGTGGAGTTCTGGACAGTGTTGCCTGGCCAAGGTAGAAAGGAAAGGCCAGAAAGAGTCCTCAGTTGTAACCAAAACCTATCGCCCCTGGTCAGTCTGAAGTGACTTCTACTGCCTCACTTCATACTTCATAACCAAAAAGCAAAAAGATGGCCTACTGAAGAACCAAGAATGCATTTTCAAACAGCAAGTTGTTAGATAGCAAAAAGCAGGCACCAGCGAAAAACTTTGTAGACAAACAGATCTAGTTTGGGTTCCCTCTTGCTCTTGAAGATGATTGTCCAGACAGTGTACTGGAACTTTCCCTAACACCTCAGGTGATGAACCGTTGCCATCCAGACACATGCAGGGAAACAGCGAGAACAACAGATGACTTCAGTTCTCTGTGTTTCAGCTGCAGAGGACAATTCCTTTGACAAAGACAAGAGGATTCTGCGATACCATCTAAGTAATACACGGTCCAACATTACACAGGCATGAAGGCCTCTAGCAGCTGGCAAACTTTTTCAGCCACACAACCTAATTGCTGTTACACAGGGAGGGAAACTAAAGCAGGTCTCACACTGAAGGAAAATTACCTTAAAGCAAACTATTCTGCAAGTTCTCACTTCTACTTTTTAACATTTTAACCCTCTCCATTGTTGTTATACTCATCTTAGATGAGGAAAGACGCCATAAGCTCTGACAGGACTGATGTTTCACATCAAGTGGATGGAAAGAAACAGGGACCCAGACAAATATGACTGCTGCCAGCATATAAGTAAAATACAATTTTAGACTTAAGGGCTAGCAAATACAAAACAAAAAAAACCCACCTTATATTTTCAGTGTTCACAAACTACAAATTCAAGACTCTTTCTTAACAGAAGGAAAAAGAGATGTCACGGAGAGTTCTGCAGAGCACTCTGAAATAATAGCTTGCTAAAATACAAGCAGGCTGCCCAGGGAAATAGGCATGTATTTGTACTAATCAGGAATCATTACAGCTGAATGGAATACTATCAATTCTGCAAATTATGAAGCGCTTCATTTTTACACAAAGCCACAATTCACAGATTACTAAAACTCACTGCGTGGATGAAGAAGAGTTCTCAAAACTAAAAGCAAACTTAAGAAAAAGATCCAAAGAAATTTCAAAAACACATTGACTAGATTAACAGAAATATATAATGAATAACATATACACTAGTATAGTTCAATTTATAGCTTAGACCACTATAGGTAATATTAGAGCAAAGGTAGGAAGTTTACATTCTGGTGGACAGACTCATTTAGGGAATGTAAAATATCACCAGACACACACATCTCATTAATAACCTACAGATAAGCTCTAGCTTTTTACAGTATTTTGTAGAAAGTTAACGGCAGGGGTGGGTTGGACTAGGTGACCTTTAAAGGTCCCTTCCAACCCAAACCATTCTGTGATTCTATGATTACCATGTCCTGTTGAATTCAGTAATTGGCAACAGCATCTCCCCTTCATGCGAAGTAGCACATGCTCATTTTAAGGGTAATTATCTTTAAGAACATTTTATGAGTTACAAATGCAATGTACTACCAAAGACAAACATATCACTAAAATCATTAATGTTATTTTCCATGTTTTTCTCCAGAAGCAAAATATTTTCCTTTCCCTTTAACTGGGAAGAGAGCAAGAAATAGCCAGGAGGGAGAGAAGAAGGTGGATTTAGTCTGTAGCTAGCAGGGAATTTTTCAGTTCTCAGAGAATAACTTCTGTTTAAGGGCAAGAAAGAAGGAACTGGAAGCACCATATCGACCAGGACAGTATAGCCAGCCGTGATACCTCAAATCCATTGTCATAAACTGTCCCTCTTCTCACTATGAAGCTAGCTGCTGGTGCAAAAGCAGCTTTCAACTGTCCAAAGGTTCTGCTGGTTTACCTAAGAAATTATGCACTGCTGGTGCAGAATAATGCTTCCTTTACTAGAAGTGTGTGAATGTGGGAGAGGGAAGTGGGCAGGGAAGAACAACAGGTAAAGCAACGAGCACAATACTGCTGCTGAGGTCACTTTTGGCTAGATTAAAATTGATATTCATGCTCCCATACACAGCACAAGCGGCTTGTTTGGGGCAGGCATGACTACAGAAGAAAATGCAATTGCTATTTTGGAGAAGCCATGTCATTGGCTGAAAAAAATAATTCAAAATAGGTGTAGCTGAAATGAGTTAAAAAACCCCCACCACCTGATTAGGAATTTTGTGTAGCTATCATCCTGAAAACAATGAAAGGTGTCAGCCAAGAAAGGCAAAGGTAAAACACTCTTTTTTTTTTAAAAAAAAAACAAAACAAAACAAAAAAAAACCCCACACCACCAAAAAAACCCCAAACAAACAAAAAACCAACAAACCAAACAAACATGCTATACACAAGGAAGCAGGCAGGTGACAATTTTCAGAAGCAAAAGGCCAGATGTTGTCTGAATCAGATGAAGACAGCTCTCTACCGAGAAAAGCAGGACAAGACAAAGCTGGTTCAAGGCAGATGCAAAGTGTTTTATTCTTAGCGCAGCACACAAAGCAGTGTGCCTTCCTACTACATGGGTGTTGTCAGGAGAAAAAATCTGAATTTAAGGAGCTGCAGTACATGTGCATAAACACATCCTTGATTAACTGTTTTCTCAAACAAAAACATCGAAAACAGCAGTCTTCTGCAGTATTTCCATAGTTCTCTGACAACCACTTGAGAAGGTAATGTGCATTATTATGCATGTTTAATTCAAATAGGAGATGAACTCGGAAAACTATCAGCCATCCAAAGGCCTTGCCACAACTACATTAAAAGGCATGGGCAACTGGAAAAGCACAAAAAACCCCACAAAGGTCTAAAGACTAAAAAAGGCATTGGTATATTTTAGAAAAAGACAGTAAAAGAAGATTGCGTTGTTAAGATAAAAACAGCAATTAAAGAAATAATGTGAAATTGTAAAATCAAAAAACCACACAATTATAGACAACTCAAAATCGACACAATCTGAAAAGGGGGGAGTAGAGTAATTGTGAAGAACCAGGAGAAGAAGAATTAACCAAATGAGATTTCACCTAGACAAATGCAATGCAAAAAGAAAAACAAAATAAATTATTGATAGCTTAAAATGACAGTCAGCTACCAGGAACAACAGGGTATGGGAAAAGCATATTTTAATGCATGCGAGCTATTTTTGCCATGCCTATTGTGGTTTCATACCTCTCTCAGAGCAGGGAGATTGGCAGAGAACTTTCAAAGATAACGTTATAGATGATTATCCAGATTTTTCAGCACTTTCACCTTTTCAATTATCTTGTGGAATAGTTATTCTCATTTTATAAAGTAAAAAAAGATGAGCATAAAAAACATGAGTTGTCTCTGAAGATACCTGTTCAGAGATTTTTCCTCCAATGAGTCCAAGCCATTTTAAGCAAAAAACTATTATTTCTTAAATGCTTTTTGATTTTACTGCACTTACTAATATGCTACCCAATTTTAGCAAACTCTTAAAAAAACCCAAAAAACAAAACCACACAAACAAAAAACAAAACTGAGAGAAAAGAATCTCAAATTAGAAGAAACAATAAGAGGACTGCCGAGTAATAGGATTTTTGCTCTTGTTGCTGTACTTTTTGAAGAAAAGCTCATACAACTGAAGAATACACTTGGCTAGTGATGGGGCAAGACAAGAATAATGTGTCCTTCTGGTACTGACAAACAGATAAAAATTTATGAAAGAGGTTTTGAAGTGGAAGAATAGTGTAAAATTAATAGAAATTGAATCAAATTAAGAAGAACAGGAAATATTTAATTTTGACTAGAAAAGAAGGAGAATGCTTGAAATTACTATGATAGTTCTGCCCATCATACTTCAATTTCTGTGCACATGTTTTCTTCCATGGACAAACCTGAATATCAACTGAACCTCAAGAACAAATAAAAAGTAAGAGAGCATAAATAAGAACATACACAGCTTATTCATTACTGCTAGCTTTTTCAATTTTCTGATGTGGAAGAGGGCACTGAAATAAGGAGAGGAGATGCAAAAAAATAAAGACCTTTCTCTTCTTTTTGAGATTTACCTTGAATATCATTAAAATCAGAAACAGCCACTTGCTTCATACAGTTATGAAGGGGACTTCAGTACAAAGCTGGTACTCAATAATTTGCACTCATGTAACACTTGTTTGCAAGATGGGCAGTCAATCACGTTAAATCTTCGGCAACTGACAGACCTCCATGCACACTATTTACTTCAATTGTTGCAGCTGCTAACCTATTTCACACAAAAGGAACCTGGTAATTACAGCCTTTGAAGTGCTATTCCCTCAG